CATCCGACTGTTCGGCACTAGGAACGGAATGGCAAAATGGATGATGGAGAACGATAAGGTAATAACAATTTCCCGATAACTTAACACCTTCCTCAACCTCCCTTCGAATCTTCAGGTTCTCTACTTCGATGTCCGACCGTACTGCTGCTGTTGTCACTGTCTCCCTGGAATGAGGCCAAATCCGTAAGATTCTTGTTCCTCCGCTGGCGTATTGTCTTGTCGAAGTGCTGACTAATTGAGTAGGGTTCAGTAAGAAATAAAGTACCAGCTCATCGTGAGCGGAGACAGAAAACCGTCCGGAGAATGGTCGTCCATGCTGGGGTCAAAATAAACAGACCAGAGCAGTGTGGGACGCCGTCTGCCTCGCCGTGTAGCGCAGTACCTCCACCAAAGTGGTCGCAAGAGAATTCAGGAATTCACGACCAATCAATATAGTATGCGTAAAGCTTCGTTATAGCTACGGGATTACGTCTGTCTAAGTAAGCATTCGCCGGCTCAGATAGTTGTTTTGGAGATTCCGTGCCTTTAAATTTTACTACGACTCTCCGTGGAAGTCGAGTACGTGGCTCCTTCCACGGAGAGGTTAAGATTCACTTCCTATTCAACTTAAGCGCAAGCTTCCGAGATTTCCAGATAGATATGTAGGTAATGCAGTAGAAACATAAATTCTCGGGTCAAAATCCACAATGGGCGAATTTCGCTTAAGGACACCTGTTTCGTAACCGTTTTGCTTTTTGAAAAGAAGTGATTTTGTAGTTTCAGAGATTGAGTAGGCGCCTGCTCTTTCTCATGTCTTAACGAACTGGTGTCCATGGAAAAGTCAAAAACTCGCATAAACTAGAAAATTTCCCGTGCTAGTTCCGAGCCGGAGCTGCCATGCAGGCTGCAAGATAATGTATGCAAACAGCATTGCGAAACCTCTACATAATTTATTCTCTACGACTTCCGTAGGAATACTGAACCCTAATCTAATGAGTCGTATTCTGCTTAATAAGATTTTTTCCCCGAGCGCTAGTATTCTCGAGAATTATCCAAGAGGTTTTTCAGGACAAAGGTACGACGGTTAACATATTTTGTGAGACAGTCTCCTCTAGTACGAGTTTTTCTTCAAGTCATCATAGTGATTCTCAGTGTCGAAGGCATTTCCGATGGATCAGCGTGAGTCATTATCAGACCTCATCTAAACATTTTTCTAGAATATTTCCATTTGCAGAGTTCTTCAAATCCTGAACGGTCTTGGAGTCGCCTCCACACTAATCGCTGTCTTCATATGTCATGTGATTGTAACAGCAACTCGGGTACGATCAAACCTTGGAATCTATATACACTTAATGCAATCCATACCTGAGAGCAATACAGGGCGTAGCTGCGAGAATACAGGCGAGCGAGAGATAGAGACCTTAAGTAGCGTGCTCTGAAGTATTCAGCGCGAAACATTCAAGTTTTGATGTGTTCAGCCCATTCTTGCAAACAAATTGCAAATTTATGTTCAGTGAAATTCACTGTTTTTTTGCACTGTAATATGACGCCGTCGTCGGCACCCCTCTTTCCGCTCTCTGATGTGGACGATATTCAAAATTGGAGGGTACAATTGAGTACGGGACAATTCTCTTCGACGAGAGGCGTTGAGCTCAGTTGTCAGCATGGCAGAGACCTACGTTACAGCATCGGTATGGTGGGGGGGGAGGGGAAGATGGTGTAAGACGAAACCCCTCACCTGAGTTAGTTAGTTAGTGAAGCCTTACCAATCAACGGAATAGTATCACAACAAATGAAATACAACAATCTAATTCATCTGGGGCCGTATGCTATTCTCCCCCTCGAGGGGAGGGGTCCCCTCTAGGGGAAGACACCCCAGGGGGACGTCCCCCAGAGCGGCCGTATGCTATACTCGAGGGGATCCCCCGAAGCGGTAGAGACGCAGAGTTGGCTGGCGCAAATTTGGGGGAAGGGTCGTCCGTACATCCAGCCTCTGGCTTTGCACTTTGACATTTCGGAGAATCTCAAGCTAAGACTGATGATTATCAATTGCAATCATTTGCCCTGTTATTATAAAGCTATCTTCAGGCTGAATGTATATTAATCAGTGTATATTAAAGGCAGTTGGCACGATAAATCGCTATACAGGTGTAGGATTTGTACAACTGGCTTAACAGAATTCCGTGACCTCGGACAGGCGCTGCGTGAAGCCTTTTCCAAGAAGGGTACCCCTATAACGCCCTGTTGAGCAACAACTTTACGTCCCAAACGCCTTCCTTGCCCGCCCGCCCACAAACGGACGACCGTTTCTGACGCTCGTATTCATTCATTTGCTGAGCAAATTATGAAGCAAAGGGATTGGTATGAAGCGGCGGTGATGCTGCATGCATATATGGGTACATATGCAGCCGTATCTTCGGTAGCGGTGATTGGCAAGATGCGTACGGGAAACTCGTCCGAAATCGATTTACAAGTCACTGAGAACGGAGGCTTTTTCTTCGCCGGATTTTGACCGTTTCACTCCGTTCTTTCGCCATTTCCCACTAAGCGCCTAACTAGCATTTTAGGCTAAGTAGGGAAACCA